TATGACATTAACAGCTCTTTGAGAAGAAACATTTTGTTATGTCCATTTTAAATAATGAGCAGCTAGTTTTGCTGATTGAGCAGTATTATTCCTTGTAGACAACTGAGTCCAAGCTGTGTGATTTAATAAAAATGCCAGGTTCTCGTGATTAATATTTTAGTTAATTTTAAAAAATCTCAAACCAAGTTGAAGAATTAACTTTATTAACAGCTTTTCAAAAAGACATGATCAAAATAAACACAAGTATGGTCGAAGAAGACCATGTCTTGGCTGAGAAAGGAAGACTGCTTTCTTGATACTAACATGATTGCAGATAACCAGTTGTGAGCAATGTTTCCGGTCACCTGCTCCGTGGCTCACTATGTCTAGAGAACTGTGTAGGACAGGCTGGGGAGTTTAGAGTTTCCTCTGGTAACCATTAGGAGGTCTGTTAGGTAAGGAACGGACTGAGGTGCTCTTAGGTGTGGTGGAGGAAATGTGCAGTGAGTTTTAAAAAAAACATCTTATTTACAGCCAACCTTACTCCTGCTACACCTTCGCTCTCATCCTCCGCAGTGGAAGAAGTGAGACACAGTGAGTGAGTTCCAATTTCCTATGGATCCAAAACACCAGCAGTCTGGCCTACTCTTTCAGGATTGGAATGGTGCAGTGATTTTTGAGCATGGAAGATCAGAAGGCTTGGTCTCAGAGACTCAGTCTTGAATAATAAAATCATGAAGTTTTCCAAATCTCCATTTGTTTTTTAGATTTGCCCCTTCATTGTTCTGCTGTACCAGAGTGCCACAGAAACAAATAAACCACTCTTTTCATTGATGACATGGGATTATCAGCATTATTTGTAGTTTTGCCTTTTTTGCTTCTTAAGATCTTGTTATTTTAGTGCCTAAGTGAAATTAAAATTTCATCCAGATGTCTCATAAAAGTGTCCAGACTTTGGCCCTTAATCAGATGTCTGGGGAGCCTATTCCAGAAACCTACTGCTCTTTGTAAAGAAGTGTTTCCTTTTTCTCTATTCTAAATGAATCCCCTTTGATTGCCAATTAAGACCCCAAGTACTTGTTTTTCTACTGAGTGTGACATAGTTCCCTGTGTTGACCCTATATATTGTATACTGAAGATCTCATACATGAAGAATATATCCTTTTTTTAGACTGAAGAGGTTTGCTATATTAACTTGGATTTGCTCTATTAACTGTATATGAAATTCCCACGAGACCAAGAATCATTCTTGGTCCTCTTCTTTGAACTCTTTCAAAGGATGTAATATCCTTTTCTTACAATACTGCAATCTCTGGGTGCAGTTCTCAATGAAAGTGACAGTTGTAACATTCTAACTATGAACAACATCCTATATTTCTTTCAGTTGTTCTAGGGCAATACTGACAAATATATTTCACCTGAGTGCCGTGTTTCATTTCAGTATACTGTATATATTAAATAAATATATAGTGTATATTTTTGCTCTTCTTTTTTATCTTGGCTATATGAAAGGCAATTTTGGCTTCAGCTGGATGCACATAAGATCTGAACTGGATCAGGCTGCTATGCAATATCCGTTCTGTCCCTGTAATGCCTAATGTAACATAGCAAGAGCTCAGCAAACTGCGGAGTTTATGACATTTTATACATTAGCATAATTACTTTTTTCAGTTCTAAAACATTCCTTGATTCGATTAATCAAAGGTTTGTCACAGTGAAGTCGACAAATTTTTATTAGACGCTCAGTACCTCCTGTTTCTTTACCTCTGGTCTTATAAAGGAGAGTAGTAGCTGAGATTTGAGAGCTCTTTTTTTAATATTAAACTTTAAGTACCCTTTAATAAGAGGCTGCTATATCTGTTATGCCTTTATATAATTTAATTACAACTGATAGCAGCTAATTAGACCGTAGAAAGGCTTCTCCCTAATTAGTCAGTTAATATCTAAAGCCTAATGCTGATTTCTCTGGCGTTTAATTAGAAATTTCTCCAAAGAAGCCATCACAATTAACTGGCAAGCCCATACTTGTTTTGTTTCCTAGTTCATTGTGGAAAACTAACTACGGAAAGGGATGCTCAGCTCATCAGTAGTTCAATCAGAATCTTGCAAATGAAGATCAAACTGTAACAAGAGACATTCAAAGCTCTGAACTAGAAGAGAATGGCCTACTGATGCAAACCAATGAAATTATATTCCTTCATTATAACAACATAATAAACGCACTATTTTTCATCAAAGGAGATGCTAACCCCTTATCTGATTGATTATCTGGGTGGTGAAGGCACTTTTGCTCTCAGGTTTTGTTTTGTACTGAGGTTTTGTTTTTCAGCAGGTGGAATTATATTTATGAACCTATTAATGTTATACGTTGTGTATTGTTCATCAAGTTTTAAATTATATAAGAAAATTGAAATGCTGGGAGCAATAAAAAACAGCTTGTGGAATTGATGATGGTAAAGTGGGGAGGGGTGTATTCTTTACTAAAGCCCCTTTTGAACTTTGTTTTAGACAAGCGCAAACGGTCTTTCATTTTTTTCTTTCCTCTAGTTTACCCATGTGGGCATTATTATGGTGTTTGCCTTTCTTTCTGTACAAACACACAGAATAGATTCTTTAATTTACACAGATACAGAATGAGACCTCCTCCCCAGCCCTCTCCCTTCAGTTCTGCAAGAATATTGACCCAGGAGCTGTGAATACGTGACAAGTATGAAGAACATTTTGCCAACTCTTTTGTTTTAATACAATGGATCAGTACTGGCATCTTTCTAGACACTTAAGTGATAATAGAATTTCAGCGAGATGTCTCAAAGTGTCCAGACTGAGCCTCAGTCAGCTGGTTGGAGATCTTGTTCCAGACACCCACGTTCTTTTTACTATTTGAATTGACATGTAATACTCCTCAAACACTCTTCAAAAACTTCTGGCGTTGTATGCTGAACTTAACTCAACTATGGGTACCACCTTTCTTCTGTCGTGTTAGTGACGCCCAGCACAGAATACTGTTTGTTCCCTTTGGTGTTCATTAATAATTGCTAATCCACTGAGAGGGGCTTATCACCTGTTTAGGATTAATTGAAGTGCAAAGACAACAAGAAAACAAGTGCAGACTCCATAGTGTGTTTCTTTTTAATGGAGCCCCAAGGAGTTCCTTTCTCAGTAGGTGTCCTGGGGAGGCAGAGGGCATTAGTGAACTCGGAGCCGTGACTAGAGGAGGAAAAGTGGTAAACATGAAGCAGCGCAGTCTGTTCTGCTATGTTTAATCCAGCAGCCTCAAAAACATCAGAGGTTAGAAAAGAGAGGAGACCTTTTGACCCATCCAGATAATTTGGTTTGCTAGTAGGTGCTTGATCCCAGAATCTCTAGCAGCCATTTTTTGAAGGAAGCCTTGTGATTTTAGTCTTCAGTGCCCACCCCCCTTAGCTCTGCAAGATTTCATGATGTCCATTCAACTGGACATCATTCCTTACTGTTTCTAAATCAAACCATCTTTTGTGTGATTCTGTGATAGTACTGTGTCTTTATTTAGGCTGGCCAAGGCCCCTAAGGAGTGTTTGAGATTCAGTTTGTGGAATTTGTTATTTTGGTGTCCTAAATAGCCATTTTTTTTGTCATGACATTCCCTATCCTGTCCTATAAGGTTACAAATGATGTACAGCTTTTACAGTTATTGCATAAAAGGGCATTAAGTACTTCAGAATTAAAATGGAAGAGTTTTGTCACTGCCTGATTCTCGGGAGACCTTTGTTATTTTAAAACCGTGCTGAACGGTGCTGTGATTTCTTACCTACAATTTTACTTGTGTAGTTTGGTTTGAATTTTACTGTTAAACTTGGAAAAGCCCATTGGGTTGACTTTGTCTGTGCCTTTGAGAATTTGTAGTGTAGTGTAGGTCCTCTTTTAATTTTCTCTGCTCAGTACTTAAAGGATTCACTTGTTTTAACTAGTCAGCATAGAATGATTCACTCAGCCAGGAATGTACGTGGTTAGTCTTATTTGGCTGTAATTCAGACAGTCAATGTCTGTTTTTCGCTAGGGTGAAAAAATCTGTACACCTTATTCTAAACAAAGGCTCTCACATTCGTTCTCATTGCACAATTTTAGCTACAGTATGTAACCTAACATTCTATCTGCCTTTTTATTGTTTTCCCACAGTATATAGGGGAGGAAAGAAAAAGCTTCTGTATCAGGCCATACACAAAGCCAAAGCACCTGTGTATGTGAATGTGCCTCTTTATGCTTTGTGTTTTGCCACAGTAGTATTATCTCTTACTAGGTCAAGATTGCTTATTTCAATACACCCTGAATATGGAGAAGCAAGTACCATAGATTTGAGACTGAATTATATAAACCTCTTCTTGTACTTCACCTCCCCTGCAACACACAGCGCCTGTGGTTAGGCAGGACTGGCAAGGTAAATCCTCTGAAGTGCTCTTGCTGTCTCCCTTCCTGGTTCTTCAACATTGAACATGCCCCCTATTAACTCCGTACCTGCTTGTCTTGGTTCTCTTGCTGATGGGACTTCTCCATGGTTACCAGGTCTGCGCGAGGCAGTGTATCGGAGGCGTGAGTTCTAGTTCAGTTTTCTACAGTACTGTGCTGGGCGTTAGCCAAAACAACATAGCTGCCTCCGCTCTGCCATCAGCGGCCTTTGGAAATTTGTCAAACTCAACAGTACTTAAAGTGATTAAAGTGACATTTGAACTTTTTAAACTTCTGTACTAAGGTGTAAAACGTACCTTTTGGGTGAGAAAAATAGCAGACCATGTCGATCCCCTAATGAAACCACAGGGTTTTTGCTAGGAATGTACTGTACATGATCATTTTTTCACTGCCCCTAAAATACTGATGTTCTTGTCTAACCTTAATGGATACAAACTTTCTCTTTAAGTAGTTATGTTGGCTCAACTACTTCTAAAATGGGAGAAAAAAGTCAGGAACAGAGACAAAGATCCAGAATTTGTTCAAAGTAAAAAGCAAGTGTACTTTAGTCTTGGAAAGAGTGTACTGTAGCTGTAAGGAGTTTTCACTTTGTGTTGTGCCAAGGTTGTACAGTATGTGTACCTACAGGATTTTTTTTTGTGTTCTATCAGTTTACAGAAGTAATTTGTAGCCGTATCTAGTCTTGTCCTAGATGTACTGTATCTACACCTTCATCATTGCAGTTCTTTCTTTTCAACTCCTTAGCACTGCATATTGTACACACATATCGCCACAAGAGTGCAGTGTCTCTATTTAATACAATCTCTTTTCTATTTATAGAAGCATACAACTAAAATCTTTGACAAAACGGCTCATTTATCCCAAAGGGAAACAGGCAGCATGCAACAAAGCCTGGAATTTTACGTGCTCAAAAAACTAGCACATCTTTATCAAGAAGAAATGCGAACTTTATTTCCAGATCCATACGTATTGATTGGAATAAGACTTGACAAATGCCAGAACGCCAATATAAGCTGAAGTGCACTCTGCTCAACTGCTACCATAGTACTGAGTGTAGTTAGAAATAAAAAGGAAGCAATTAAAAGCATCAAATGATCCTAAACACACACTTGAGACCAAACGCACTTATCATTTTTTGGAAACTATCATTTTTAGTATATTCACAGAACAGAATTACTTTACTATTATTGAAACTGACTCATGCAAATGAGCAAAACATCTTTCTGTTGTTAAATGCTGTTAGCCAACTCCCTTGTGTCTTGAACTGAATTTATAAGGCATTTCAGAAACACTACATTGTCTAGGAATTGTTTAATGCCTGTGTCCACTGAAATGATTAGCAGGCAAGTAGAGGGTCTGTTTGTCACTCAGTAATAGGTTTGTTTTAGAAATTCTTCTGTAATTCCTGAAGCAGGTAAAGAATTTGGTCAGGAATCAAGGCACATCCCTGCAGTGCTACAGAAAATGCATTTGGGTTCTGTGAGCAAAACAGAAGATTGTAATGCGTCATCTAGCATTGCCTCACAGTCTGTAGATCAGTGCCACCCACCATTTTCCCATTGGCCATGTGATCCCAAGTCTTATTACCATTTTTCTGTCCTGCACCTCTGGGGATTCATACTCTCTTAGGAATTTCTGCTTGTACACCCAATGCAGATTTCATGACTGCCCTCAGGTGGGAGGTACGGATCTTAGCTCACTGGACTGTATCTCTTCTACCTCTCATTCTAGGGGTATAGTGGTATAAATACTGTAAATAGTGATTAACCTGGGATGAGAGCAAGACTGCATCCCTCTTACTCTACCTGGGCAGGTGAGGCTTTCAGATCATCTAAATTATTTCTTCTGCTAGGATAAATATCTGGAAGCTGTATACATAGGTGTAACGGCGATTGATGAAAGATAAGCATCTCATGTTTGCTTAGCTGAAATAGTAAATGTTGCATTCATTTACTGTACTAATGGGGCTTAATACCATTTTGCATGAATATGTACAGTAGTAATGACTAGAAACCAAAGAAATTCCCTCTGATATCATGGCAGTCTCCTACTTGTTTCAAGCATAAGATTAAATCCAGTTATGATCGCCAGGTTGTGGAGCTCATTCTTAGGCACAATAGGTATAATATTGTGAAAGCTACAAGGTCTTCTCCAACAAAAGCAACAGCAAAAATATCTTGCTGCTATAGTATTGCATTCATTTTGTGCATGGAAGTTTGCATAATGTGTGTGTTCTAGGAAAGTGCCTCATGGAAGTATTAATAAAGACAGGATGAAACTGCTGAATATGACCGTTAGCTTTTTTTACAACTGACTTACACTGTTTTATTTCTCATATGTAGCAACTGCAGTTTTGTTCAGTTTAAGGTCAATATTCTCCAACTGTTTAAGAAAGCTATAGTGTAAAACAATGGAAATTGTTACTGTAAAGATACAGTACTCATTACAAACTTTGCAGTTGAAATGCCTTATTTGTAGGAAAATGCTATTGTAAGATATCGAAGTTGTTAATGTTATTTTTCTAAACATTGCTCATGGGTCAATTGCAAAACATGTTTAATAAAAACATCAAAAAAGATTATGGCAATTATAGAAGGAAGACCTCTTTTATTACATCTCTTTTCTACAGATTCCTCTCCTCGGTTATATTGGTTATATTGCTTTTCTGACCTTATCCATGGATCCCCAGGTGGTCATCAGGGGGATGCTATACCTGTTTTTAGTGGTGGTGGGGGTCCCCGGGAATCTGGCGGTGATCTGGGCCTTCTGCCACATCATGCGCAGTGAACGCAAGCTCATGCCGGCTGACGCCATCGTTCTGCACCTCGCCGCCGTCAACCTGCTGGTGGCTGCGGTTCGCTGCTCCTTTGAGGCGCTGGCAGCTTTCGGCGTCTTGTATGTCTTCAACAACACCGGCTGCAAGACCATCATCTTCATCTACAGGACGTCCCGGTCCCTCTCCATCTGGCTCACTTTCGTGCTGAGCACCTTTCAGTGCATCAGCATTGTCCCCCCCGGATCCCGGGGGTACAGCATCAAGTCGCACGCTCCTCGGTACCTGGGGGGTGTCTTCGTCTTCCTGTGGATACTGAACTCTTGGCTGAGCTCCGCTGCCCTGGCCTTCGCCGTGAGCTCTGGCGACAACTCGACCCGCACGCAGTACGGTATCAACATAGAGTTCTGCATTGTGAATTTCCCCTCCAGCACGTGGAAGAATGCCGTCGGGGCAGTGCAGGTGGCGAGAGACGCGGTGCCCATATTCCTCATGGTGGCGGCCAGCCTCTTCATCCTGCTCTTCCTGTACCGTCACAGCCAGCAGGTGAAGGGCCTCCGCAGTGCCAAACGGACACAGAAGGAGTCGGCAGAGTCCCGGGCGGCCAAGACAGTGGTGACCCTGGTGACATTGTATGTGCTCTTCTATGGCATTGACAATGGCCTGTGGGTATATACACTGACCGTCACTCAGACCTTGAGCACCTCCCTCATCTCTGACCTGCGGATCTTCTTCGCCTCTCTGTATGCGGCTGTCAGCCCCCTCGTCATCATCGCCTCCAACAAGAAGGTCAAGAGCCAGCTAGGGTGCATGAAGACAGAGAAAGGCCCCGTCAGTGTAGACACCGTTCTCTCCACTGTTTGAAAGGCAGCGCCTGACACTTTTCATTAGAACTACCCAGCGATCTCCTTCTCTGCTCTCCTTCCATTTCAGTTGCCCTAGAATGTCTGCTACCTGCACTGACTCAGAATTGATATCATTTACAATTAAGACAGTGAGGTCACAGAAAATGAATTTGCTTTGAATCCCTTCATATTAGATTGTGCTAATTAACAGAAACATCTAATTTGATAGGGTTTGTGTTATACGGTACTTTCTCTGGTTGGTTTTCTCCCCAGTATACAGTAGGTGAGTATTAGAATGCCTGGATTAATTTGACTGTGAAATGCATTTGTTTAGTAGTTCAATTAGCATCTCTGTCTGTGGTCAGGTGTCGATTAGTCACCTCCACGAGAGTCCGTCAGTTCAAATACAACTCTGCACCTCAGACGAGGTTATTCTGAGACACTCTTTTATTAAAACAGCATCTCAGGGCTGTGTTGAAGCCCCTAACCTCCTGGCCCCCTGCTGTCGCCAGCACAACGCTTGGCTTGCAATGCAATATGATTTGTTTAGTTGTTGATTTATGAACTAATTGTCTCTAATTGCTGCTTAGCACACTATAAATCCAAGCTGTCTGATTTCAGAAGCACATTAGGTAGGATTGGTATAATGAAGCAATTAGTTCAATTAAAGGAGGAATTGAAAGCAAGAATTAAAAATAAAAAATAACTTGTGTGGAGAGAACCCCCAGTGTAGCGATACAGCCAGCTCAAGGATTTGACATCCTTCAGTTCCAGGTCTGTTACTGCGAGAGATATCAAACATGCTGCTAATATTCTTCAATTCCATGCGCTTGGTGGGGAGGGGGTAGGGGGGATCTCATTAAACCAGTTTATCCTAAAGTGTATTCGCAAATTCTTTTAAAGGTGAAAACCACCCCATTTACAACAGCTTAAGAATAACGGGCATCTTGGTACTTGAAAACAATCAGATCATAGCTTTGCTGACAGAACTTTGCTTTGCTGTTTGGTCGTTTGTAGTTAATTGATCGTAGGTTCTCATCCATCCGTTTCTTGAAAGATGCCAGGGTATCAGCTTCAGCAGCATGGCTGGGCAACTTGTTCCAGACTCGCACAGGCCCATGGGTAAAGAAGCGCCTCCTGTTCGTAGTTTTAAACAGTGTAATTTCTGGCTGTGTCCACTGGTTCCTGAACTAGGGAGCTTCTCATCTTTTTTCATCTTCCATATGGAAAATAAGCATGTTTGACCTTTCTGAAATCTTTGTGACGATACACAGAAGCCTAAAGAAAATCCAAAACCTCAAAATCAGGGCACATCCCTTTGCCTTGGCTTCTTTCTTGGCTTAACGGAGGGATTCTTTTCCTCTGGCCACATCACAGGCTGTTGTAGCCAGACGTCTCTCGTCATCTTTGCACATTGTCATGGTTATTAGCTCTTTGAATTGCCTGGTGACTGTGGACCAAATGATCACTCTGCAGTCTCCCCCTGCACAGGGAGGACTAGGCCTGCTAATGAGCTGTGGAGGAGAAGCGGGCAGGCAAAGTGCATCTTCTGGCTGCTGCTGGTGGAAATTGAAAGTGGCAACAATTTAGCAGCAGTGCTAACAGGACTCCAGGTGTTTGTGCTTGGCCCTGATGCGTCCCCCGTCACCCTGCATCAGGCTAATGGTCCAAAACCACACAGGTTATTCTTCTATTATAATGATTTACTGTACCTTGCTTAATTATTATTATTACCTTTCCATATCCGGAACGACATCGCACATCATAAAAAGTACAGGTTTAAAAAACTTCTACTTGTACCATACAGTCTACATGGGTTACACTTGGCCGAAAGAGCTGTTGTTAAGATACACAATAAAAAAGGAGATGAAAGGCTTGTGTTGTATCTGAGTGAAAATATTTTTTTATAAATTCCAATGTTTGTTGTTTCCAATTTGCAGAAGATTTGTGTCAAGTTGTGAACAGTGGAATATAACTGTTTTTTAGTACATTTGAAAGGCTTCAGTTATGATATTAAAATAATATAGAAGTGATGAAGTATATATACTCTATGAAATACTGTATACAACGTTTGTCTGCTTCATTATCTAATTTTATGTTAGTGGTCTGTAAATTATAGAATGTGAGAGTAAATGCTTCACTACTTTTTAGTACATAAACATATAAGAAAAATGATGTTGGATAAAGTTCTGACTTTCAAATAAGTCTTATTATCTTCTCTGACAGCCTCCCATTTTAATTATAATTAACACTTTGCAAGTGATCTGCTAAATGTCTCGTTGCAAATGAAGTTTCCTAATGACGTTCCTTAATTTGCTCTTCTGAGAATAAAGCAATAGCTGAAACTCCTGTGGGGAAATGGTGTTCTGTACACAATGGAAATTAAAATAAACATTTGAATATTCTTCATGTCAGTCATATCCTACAGAATTATTTTCTGCTTTCACATGATGTGCTTGACACCGATTGTGTGTCTTAAAGTTGTTGGGATCTTTCTAATGGATCGTGAATAGTGTTTTTGGAAAATTCGCAAAACACTTCTTGTGTTGGCTGTTGTAATGTATAATATCACAAATAACATTAACTGCTTGACTGGACAATGGCACTTACAGTACAGAGCAGTGGTACCTTACAGTAGGTACAAATTAGACAGATTAGCTATCTTGGAAAAATAGCTCTCTATGAGCCTTGAGGTAAAAGAAGTATTTTAAATGATCTCCCTTGGAATAATAAAATCAGTACAAGACATGACCGTAGACAAGCAGAAAACTGTTAATCAATTTATTTTATTTCACTGATATGCCCTATGAAATGGTATTCAGCACATGAGTTTGTTGTTTGATGTTCTGATTTCTTTGTTAACGCTTGAGACGCTGGTTGCCAAGCTTACTGTAACCTGCCTGGCCTGATATCTTTCTTGTGAGAGGTTTGAACCTCTTGAATAACCTGAAAGCTGGGAAGAAGCTGTTGAACCTCCCGGTTGGGTTTCTGCTTTTGAGAGAGAGATCGTCTCGAGGCACGTGTCTGTCAACTGAACAAGACGGACTGCTGCGGTGATGGCATCGCCTGTGGTGCGTGGACCGCTTGAGGAGCTCCTCAAAGTCTCGCTTAGAGATGTGAATGCTGAAGAGGAGGGTCACGCCCCCAATGAGAAAGGCCCCAATGAAGCCAAGAAACACCCCAGCGATGAGGGGCCACACCCCCTCCAGGAACCGCCTGCTGTAAGGTGGCAGTTGTTCCCTCTGGATGACGAGATCCAGGTCACTCCAGCTCAACTCGGTTACTGCAAACAGGAAGGATCACCTCCGTTAAAGTGCTTAATATGCACAGAACTACAGCACACATGTTGGAAACAGATGTTTCAGTGTCTTCAGCCTCTGGTGTTTAAAGCAGTTACTAGGGTAATTTTTACACTTACCAAGCTAATTGAGTCCTACATTAATCCCAGAGGACTGTGGTTACTGGTGTTTTATACATAACATTTTATTATTGTAAACCTGTAAACAGATGGTGACAGAGCTTCTTTGTCCATACCAAGAGCTTTCAAAACAGATAGATGTTGTACCTTCAGTTTTAAAGTGTAATAACACAATCTGCAGTCAAGCTGGGGGAGGGGAAGGACAATATTGTTCAATATTTTTACATACTGTGACTATCAAAGTATTCACCCCTTTTTTGGACTTTTTTACATTTTGCTGTGTTTCAGTATGAAATCATAATGTATTTAACTGGGAGGTTTTGCCATTGATTGACAGAAAACACTTCAAAAAGTGTCGCTCCAGAACACTGATGTTTTTCTATTTAAACCACTGTGGCTTTGGCTGTATGTTTTGGGTCATTGTACTATTGGAAGATGAATCTTCTCCCAAGTCCCATGTCTCTTGCAGACTGCAGCAGGTTTTAATCCAGGATCTCTCTGTATATTGCTGCATTCATTTTTCCTTCTATCTTGATGTGTCTTCCAGGTCCTGATGCAGCAAAGCTTCCCCATAGCATGATGCTGCCACCACCATGCTTCACCGTAGGGATGGTGTCCTCAGGATGATGTTCACTGTTACGTTATAATAAACATAGTGCTTATTATTGAGGCCAAAAAGGTCATTTTTGGTCCTATCAGAACATAGAATCTTCTTCAGCTTGGTCTCAAAAGTCTGTCACCTGCCTTCTGCCTTTTGGCAAAGTATAATTGAGATTTGATGTGAGTTTTTGTTACTCTTCCATGAAACCCAAATTTGTGAAGCACCAAGGCAATTGTCATATGCAGAGTTTCTCCCATCTCAGCGATGGAAGACTGTTATGCCTTTAGAGTTGTCACCGGCCTCTTACAGCACTTGTCAGGTGGCCTCCCTGACTTGTGCTCTTCTCACCTGGATACTCAGTTTTTGAGGATGCCCGGTTCTTCAGTTTCACAGTTGTGCCATATTTTCTACATTTTTTAACAATGGACTTTACTGTGTTTTGAGGGATATGTAATGTTTTGGAAATGCTCTTATTCCCTTTCCTTATACAGTAGGTGCTTTGCAATAACCCTATCCCAGATTTACTTTGAAAGTTCCTTCATCTTCATGATATAGTTTTTGTTGGGAGCTGTACTAATCAACTATGGGACCTCCCAGAGATATGTATATGTGAAACACCTTATTTGCACACAGGGGGACTTCATTCAACAAATTACAGTATGTGACTTCTAAATGCATTTTGTAGCACCAGAGCCTATTTAAGTGTTTCATTGTAAAAGGAGGTAAATCCTTATAAAATCACTTAGTTTCTGTTTCATATTTATAATTAATTTAGGGGGATCTGTAGAATTGTTTTGTTTTGTGTTGATCAATGGAAAAAAAACCAAATTAAAAATACACAGTGATTCTATATTTTAACAGTAACACGTTAAAATATCCAAAGGGGGTGTGAATAGTCACTTTACCTGAACAGGCTTCTTTTTTTGTAGTAGCTCAATCAATATGTAGATTGAGCATCAAACTAAAACCAATTATAAATGTTCCAACACATTCACAAAATTATTAGAAACATTACAGTCTTTTTTGTAGCAGGTGCGCTGATAATTACATTTATTTTTCTGATTAATAATTTGTCATAAACAGGGATGATCAGTAAGGGGTTACAGCTAGGAGCTTGTGTAGCCATTGGACATTTGTGATGCACGCTTCATATTGTGTTGGAAATGTATGGGATTCTGTCCAGTTCTTAATGTAGAGCCTGGACACTAATATGCCTGTTCACTGGTCTCTAAGCTCTCGATGCCACAAATTGTCCCAGCTCATCCTACAATTATTCATTGGTGCTCAAGTCTAGGCTTCCATGACATACTGATCACATTTTTGTACATTGTCCTACTGACATGTTTCAGTAGGTGGCTGTGTCAGCATGCATAGGCTGCAAAGGAACAAGTAAAGGTTTATTCCATGCTGAATAATGTATTTTAGTATGGAATAAACCTTTACTTGTTCCGTTGCATCCTACTGACATGTTGTCACATCAGAATGAGCTCACATGAAGGATTTGATCAATCTACTGTTGTGCAGTCAGATTACCATCAATCATTACACATGACCTTCTGTAGCGTCTAGACTCCTGCCCAAAACATTACACTCGGACATCCCCATCCATCTCAACCATGTGTGGTAGATTCAACATTGACAGTCCATGTTTGCCTGTAATGTCTTTCCAGGGTAAAAATTCCTGGCTATTAAGACTCAACAGTGTGCTGATTCAGTCCACCATTTGAGTTTCATTAGAGCCAACATTACACAGTTTAAATCACTTTTTCATTTGTGCTCAATCTGCTCTCAGTAAGGAGGTGATTTTTTGCGTATGCCATAGAGAACGCAAATGACTGGCAAAAAGATTTAATCAATAGTCAAAATCCATATACACATTTTTTCTAACGGAATGATACACTTCATTTGATGCTCACTATACTGTACCACAGAAATTATGTCTAGGGTTTTGTGTGTTACCTGAATTATCAAACTAGAGTACAAGCATATTCGATATGCAGGCTTCTCTAAAGAAGTTCACAGATCCAGTAAATAACCTCTCTTACAGTCCCTGGCTGCACGGTGGCTGTCTGTGGTGTGGTCAGTCGCTGGCTCGATCAGGGATGAGTGCATAGCCTCCACATGCTTATGATAGTCTTCCACATACTTCTTTAAGCTCAGGCTCTTGTCCTGATTAATGTTTTTCCCCATTTCTAGAAACATACAGAGGTTTTCATTTTTGGCATGTCAAGCTTACAAAGTATTGCAAATAAATATAGTAAGTATCATTATTAGAATGGGTTTCAGATACCTTTTCTAAAATAATGAAGATTTAATAAATATACACCTGAACTAAATGCTTTGCTCCAATACAGCCTTTTACAGTTTCTAAAATATTTATTCAATACCAATGGAAAAGAGTGTTTGTGAAAAGCTATCAAGAGTATAACTACATCTGTTAATATTGCTAATCTTAAATACTACACAAAGAATAGCTATAGGACTCCAATCAGTCTGACCCCAAGCCTCAGAAGAATGAACATGATCTTATCTGGGCAGCTGGCAGTTATAATGGCCAGGTAGTTTTAAAAAAAATGACTATACAATTCTTGGAAAGTGTTTGGGCAGGCCAGATTACAGGTAAGATGAGGACTGAAGAGACCAATTTTAAGATTTAGGAAAGGACCTATTGTCTCAAAGATGTGGAAAAAAATGTTTTTTGTGTCCCACACACACAAACAAAAATTCTCACTTGTATTTTGACAATTTTAACAAAACTATAGTTTGTTAAAATATCTCACTAAACTGAAATATTCAGAGGGGTTTAGGTATAGAGGAAAAAAGTATTTCTGTAGATATGAATGATGAGGTCAAACAAAGAAAAAAGGTTTTGCATTTCACACCTACAAGTACGATATTGAAAGTTAAATTTTTAAAGGACATCACTATAACACAGTCCAGTCCCCGGTTAGTTATCTGCACTATTAATTACATATATATAGATGCTTATTTGTGTAGCTTCAGATGAAATAGGAGCACTCTGTTTGCCTGCCATGTGTTGAACTGATTGGAAAATGTGTGCGTGCTGTGGCGCTTGTCTCTTCACTTCTCTGCCTCTCTGTTTAAATTGTGCTGAGCACAGAACAGATGGTTTGTGCAGAATTTGGTGTCAACTGTTCCGAATCCACTGGCAGCTAATTTACACCTCTTGCTGTCTGTGAAGAAAAGCAACCAGGGGGATTCGTCAGTACTGCAGCAGAACCAGATTGTGTTCAGAATAGTGCTGCAGTAACTGAAGGTGGATTCAGCCTAAAATCTGGGATTAAAATTGCTGCTGTTGGCCTGTGCCCCAAAAAATCTCACCAACCAACTACTGGCATGTATCAATTCAGTCTTTCTAAGCTAAATTCTACCAACAGAAGTGTGTTATGAAAAAATTGGATGTCTTTCTAATACATAAAATCATTTCCTTTTAGTTCCATAATAGGGTCTTCACTATTTAGATTAAATGTATTATTAGGACAAACAATCAGAAGGCATGATTATATTTCCATCTTTAAGTTAATGATACGCATATGTATGTGCACACTAATCGTTATAGTGAAGCGACTGTTTCGTGCTTGCTAAATTATGAAATTGTGGATGCATCTGATGTGTTTGTAATTCAGTTGTAATAAGGTAATGCTTATTTTTCCATTCAAAATAGAATACTATCATGAACAGAATGGGAACTTAGTGGTATACAGTTCATACAGGACCATATGTCTTTTCCAGAACAAAAAAATAAATTGAACCAGCACTGAAACTTTAAAAATACCTTCAAATTGGAAATCATTTACCATATGTCATAGCTTTGATTTAAATTACTTTGGCAGGTTTAGACAATTGATAACATACGTTGTGATTCCCAAATTAAGTCTAAGCTTAGAGGCAAATTATTTAAAGTTCCCAAAAATCTTATTATAAATACAGGTATTCTCTTCTGAAAAGCATAGGGATTCAATGGAATGAAGATCTGGGTAGAAGTAATATACATCAGCAGAATCATTGAATAAGTGTGTAGATATAACATGATATTGCTACTGTTAATTCAATATAAAAGTAACATGAGTATTACACTAGGATAAAAGTAATACATTGATGTTAAAACTGGATATATGTATTAAAGTAAAAGGAAAAGTGATTAATGGATTTATTCCTTTTGGGAGTCCTGAAAAGTTAATACAAATTAGAGAGCTGGCTCTGCACTTCTCTGATATGTAATATTTAACCCCACCACTCTGCCTATTACATGCTACATTGCATGATCATTCTTTGAGATACCCATTAGGTATGATTGTGGTATACTCCATTACAATTTTAAAGTAACTCCTGTTGAAATATTGGGAATCAACTTTAGTACCTAGTTTGCAAGATTTGAAATCTTTTTTATCGTATTAGTTAAGAATTGAGAAAAGCTGGGCAGTGGAAAGATTTAGAACTCTACAGTTTCAAAGAATATGGGAAAGATGGCAAACCTAAGATTAAATTTGATGGGTATAGATTAGAGTAGGAGGTAGAGTAAGTCAATAAGTACATTGTAAGTGTTGTGATTTATTGTAATATGTAAGAAGTCATCATTTTTATTCTGTTTTTTGTTTATTTAGTGATGTCTTGCAATATTTACATGAATATGTGAATGTTATTTGCTGAATTATTTGAAAATAATAAGGTTCTAAGAGAAAAATTGTCATTTTGCTATTTTTTCTGCATGATCTACATAGATTAACCCCTGAGAGTCTGGCCATTGATGGTATTTAACCTTAAAACATGGGGCAATGATTTTCCATAACTTAGCTTCTGAGTTTCAAGTGTACAATGATATTACTACATAATTTTGTAATCTTAGAAACACCGGTCACTGCAAAACAGTTGCTCCTGTGTACCATACTGTGCTTTTTAACCCGTTCATTACAGCATCAAGAACAGATTGGTATGCACTGCGCTTATTCTCATACAAAAGGTATTGTGAATACAAATGGCAGAGGAGATGCTTTGACAGTGCAACCTGGATTTCCCTGGCTATCCACTTTGTCAAAATGATGTATTCAAAACAGAACATGGAACAAGTCTGACCTAAAGATATGTCAGTCCTGCCGATCCGCTGCAGAGCTCTAGATAAGCGGTCATAGTACATCTGGTCTCCATGAGTCACCAGCCATTCTGTCAAGATGGTCTTACACTCCTCCTCTGTCCCTGCACACAGAGTAGTGTCAGACAGCAATCTGAAACACTTGGTGGCTATACAAGGCAATAAAAAAACAAGATTTCTCTTGCATTCCTTGTGATTTGTGTTTTTGTGCATCTTCAAAGACAATGCCCTTAATATGTGAGGTAATTAAAGAAACAAGACTGTAAAGAATATTGATATGTTGACCTGGTATTTTAGGAAACAACAGAAGATTTAAAAACAATATCAGTGTGTTATAACCAATATTTTTAATTAGCAAGGAGTTTCTAATTACTTTGACTTAAAGAGTTGTTCTAATTATGCTCTATAGAAGTGACTCCTGGGCTTCTGTGATGCACTTACTGTATTTGTAGAGATGCTTTGAAAGAGGGATATGAAGAACCCAAAGGGATTATTTTGAGCTTTTCAGTAGTAACTGTAGTTTCTCACAGCTGGGCACTGGCTTGGGGACTTATACCATATAATGTGAGGTGTGATACTTCAACATTTGCAAGCCCAAATTAATTTTTATTAATTTCCTCACATAGATGTATCAGTTAAAAAGAATGTCTCATTGTTCTGAAAGATATAATCACTGTTAACTCTTTCAGGTATCATACAGTACGGTTCTTTAGGTTTGACTACTCATCATGTGCTGAGACTTGTAAAAAGATAATAAGGCTTGTCAGTTTGTCTTTAAACATCTGATAAACTGAATAAGTGCCTTGGGGATCACTAAAGTGCACCTATACTGAACCTCCAAAGTCCCATGTTTTACTGTATATATGAACCAGATGAAATAGCACAGTGAATGTGTAATACTGTTCTAGCTATAATTTATTACCTGAAAAAATTAACAAATTGAAAAACATTAACAGAGAGAACTAGACTTGGAAAACCTCCAACAATAACGAGAATTTGTACTATAAAAGAAACAAGACTGATCCATACTGATGTCTCTCCGGACTCGATCTGGGACGCCCAGGTCATTCTTCTCCAGGGAAAGCCTGTCTATTTCCTGGAGGATATTCTCCTCAGGGGTGGTTAGCATAGAGTGGAGGTCCTGGCATTCACGGGGGGTCAGCAGCTCAGCAATCCGCTCCATCTGGTGTACCCCAATATCGTCCGCCACTGAGGGAAGTAGGGTGAAGGTGTTACTGCTCCCAGCAGAAAGAAGGTCTTCAATTGTTCAATCAGTCATTAAAAACCTACTGGGGTGATTCTAGAGCTTTCTTTTCCAGATTAAACAATGTTCAGATTTCATAAAGGTAATAACAATTATAGACCATTTCAAGCTGAATATTAGAAGAATTCAAGACTTTATAAAGCATGCATCAAAGAGGGACACAGATGATTTTCATGATGTCAAAAAAAGGGATTGGAAATTGGAACCACACACAGCAGTAGTTGTCGAGGATGGTGGAGCAGTGTAAAATAAATTGTGCCCATTGTGGAAAGTTTATCATGGGCAAAGGAACTATACTATGATGATGCAAAGAATCTGTAATAAAGATTTTCAAGTTTGTAAGGGATTGACTGGAGCCCTGACTAGCTCTGCTGGTAGAGTATGAGACTCATAATCTCAGGGTAGTGGGTTCATGTCCCATGTTGGGCACCAGGTTCTCTAATAACCCAGACCGGGCAGCAGCTGTATGGGGTGGTTTTGGCAGTGGAGGATCGCATTTCTGTGACAATGGGAACAACACTCACATTGTCCGTGCGGAAGAAAGGGCTGGCAATCTACTTCTGTATCTTCTGTATCTTGCCATGAAATCTCTATGGTGATGATCCATAGAGATGCCACGAGTTGACACCGACTCGACGGCACTCATCCCATCCCCCATCGAATGGATTGACTAAAATCATGCTTCATTTTTAGTGATGCTAGTGTTCTTTTGGACTAACTCTCCAACTTTTTCTCCACCAAACACTCTCAGCCAATTGTTCCCCAATATTTCACATGGGCCAATGAGTGCACATTTAAACATAATGCAATGCTCCTCCCACTAATTCATGTCCATCCAGTTGGAGCACATTTAAACACAATGCTCCTCCCACTAGTTCATGTCCATCCAGTTACAGCACATTTAAAAACAATGCTCCTCCCACTAGCTCACATCCATCCAGTTACAGCACATTTAAGCATACTGCTCCTCCCACTAGTTCACACCCATCCAGTTACAGCACATTTAAGAACAAAACTCCTCCCACTTATTCATGTCCAGCCAATTACACAGTCACACTGTTCATATTTAACATGAAGCATGAGGTCTGTAACTCCAACAAAGCAAAAGACTGTCATTCACTCCTGATAAGGATATTACAGTTAAAACAAAATGTATTAATTAGAATGTTTACATCAGACAGGGACTTATTTTTTATGTAAACACATATGTGTGTCAGTTTTGATAGTCTTGTGCTTTTCCATTATCCACACACCTTAAACTGCCAGCAATGAAGTGTGTTATATACAGTACCATTATATTACCATACTGTAACACAATACTGTGCAAAGATTAATATAAACATCACTCTGTACAAGTCTAACTAGAGAAATGTCCACGTGAAAGCATTCTTGTTTAGTTTGGGGTGAAATATTAGTTTGATTTTTTTTTAACACCAAGGAAGTGGAGTAAAAAGGGGATTTGAAGTCATCCTGCCAGTGAAAAAAGGATATGCTTAAAAGATTTAAAATCTGAAATAAGGAAACCATAGTTGATATGAGAACAATGTATCTGTTCCTGCTGTGCCGTGCATTTGTGGTCGGGCTTACATGCAGAGATGTGAGTCTTTACTAACGCCATGCTCAGCATATCAGGACTATTACCTCTCATTTTTACACAACAGACTTGGAAAGATTAATTACTGCAACAAAAATGTGAGAAAGGAGGTTTCAGGATTGACAATTCTTCCTGTATAACAATATCCTTTTGTGAATGTCTGCTGATACAGTAGAAGGTTGCTAACTAGATATAATTAAGGTACTGTACAGTAATGTTACGCTGAGATGAAAGAATAACCAGACTAAAAACATTTAGAATTTGCTGAGATACCATGTCTCCTTTTTTGGTGCTAATGTTTGGTATAGCATGTTTTTTCAAGTTGCCTTTTGTGTATGTGTGGTGTTCTAATTTTGAACATAGAAACACACTCATATTTTAAAACTTCAGTACTGTAAAACATGTCAGACATTCACAGATCAAAGGGGATGGAAAATTAGCTAATTACAACAAATAAGAGAAAACAATCTGTTTCCAAGATTCTTCATTTCCTTAAGTGCTAGTTACTGTAGCTATGTCGTTTCAGACACTCATATGACAGATAACTACCCAAGGAGTACACTTAGCTTCAGACTGAACACAGTGAATACACTACTGTCCTCTGTGCCAGTGGCAATTGGATTTAGTTTCTCACCCTTGTCTTCTCCAAGGCAGAGGCTGAACACAAGGACAAGCACGGACAGTTGCTCTACTTTCATACTGCCTGGAAGCATATCAAAAGGTTGTTGAGGAGCATGCTGGGAAATTGTTTAATTTTAAAAATATAAAAGGAGAAATCTAGAACTTTCAGCCATACAACTCCATGCTGACATCACCAAAGTACACAGGTGTATGTGGAGTTGTGTATTAGGAGAAGTGTATTTAGTCTAATGGCTGTTATATTCAAATGGTGAATTACAGTAGGTCACAAAGTTACAATGTCTTGAATGAATGATTTTGCAGTGTATCCTTTTCCTCTTTCATTTTCAGATTCTTTTTCTTTGTACCATTATTTTTTTACACTCTACCCTCAAATTCTGTTAAAATATTTTAGAGTTAAATTTGTTTTGTTCTGTTTTAAAATTAACTTAAAATTATAGCTCTGGGATCTTAATTTAGCTGACCAAATGCCTTGAAAAATGTATGACAGTTGTGAGAAACTTATCAGTGTACAGATTTGCATTTTACAGAGTGAATTTAAACTAAAGAATTAAAGACTAAAAACTTAAAGATACCTTACCACCTTTCACATTTTCACCTAATAAATACCCCCATTATACCAAAACACAATACTTAAAACATACCTCAATCATCACAAAAACGTTTCTTTCATATATTTTCCTTAAATATATAGTTATATGTATAGGAACAAGTAATAGGTTTATTCAGCCGTGGAGCCTTCTTCAGGTGTAAGAAAGACAGGGCAGTATGTTATACTGTATGTACAGTATACAGTAGTTACCTTTACAACACTAGTCATACAAAAGGGATGAGGAGACCTGCTTCCCTCCAGTCCAGAAGAGGGCACTGTGAAAATAGACCAGAAGCCATGCAGTAGCTGTTTCCTAGAGTTTAAAATCGGCCCTGACTTTGAATGAGGTTTTGACCATTAAGCAGGTATGTGACCTAACAAAGAGTGACTGCAGTCACCAAACATTTCAAACTTTTAAAATTTACTGATTGTGTTTCTCCTTTTTTTGCTTCCTACCTATATAATATATCCCTCAAACAAAAAGGTAAGTACTAAATGAGTTTATTTCCTTTGGTTTAGAGGCCTGCAACAGCCTGCAGGCCGTGAGATGGGCCCCATCGAAGATGAGAATGTATTGCTACAGCATCTCTCTACTTACAGTAGCTCTCCAAAAGCCTTTGCAAACTTATTTCTGGACATTGCTGAAAAGTGCATCCCTGCCCAAACAAAATACTAGCCTGACTGTAGTGCTGGACAGCCTAACCTCAGTAGCATTAGGTGTTCTGTTGAGTCTTGGGATGCCTCATGAGAATGAACTGTGGCGTGGCATACCATGGAGAGAGAGCTTAAAAGTCTAACGTTAAAACCATGAGCAATCTGAACATGTACAATTCTAACCTTTCATAAGGGGTATCGCCAAACTCTGAAGCTGTACTTGAGTTATCAGAGAGAGAGAGAGAGCCCTGCCACTTTTGTCAGGCATTTTTGTTTTCTTCGCATTGGAACATTTTTTGAAGAGAAAAAATGCCTGCATGCACTTTGGAAGCTTTGGGGTGCAGAGCTCCAATATGTATGTTCTAGGAATTATTATTATTTTTATTAATTAAATTCTTTGTTAGAAGCTGTACTGCAGAATGAACAGGTACCCAAAGGACCTATCATAGGCATGTAAGAGCGATGAACCTAGATTATACAGTGAGAGTATTAAGGACACTCTTAGAGGTCAACAGCCTCTCTCTTTTCTAGTGTGTTTCTATCCACTTTGTCTATCAGTCTGTTGATATTTGCTTTATCTACTTTATCCATCTCACCATCCTTCTATCCACCTGTCTGACAAATTGCTTGTAGACATTTAAAGATTGTCATGTTCTTCTGTATTTTTTACTTTCAGGATTTAGTTTGCTGTGCAGCTGAAAAATGATCACGTGTCATCTGGTCCCTTCATAGCAGCTTGTGTTTCAGGGCCTTAGGGATGTTTGGTATGGTGTCATGACTTTTTGATTGGATATCAGTCATGTGGTTTTAGTAGGTGTTGAAAAGTGAAGAAAAGCTCCCTGAAGATGATATTACATTCATTTATTAGTGCATTCATTAATATATGAATTGAATAGTGTTTTATGGTAAAGGGGTTTCTTTGTAATTTGATCTTAAAGCATTTTGGAAAACCTTATTAAATATTGTGGTTGGTTGGATACTTATCTTTAACTTATAGTATATAACACCAATCATTGAATGTAGAAAAAAATCACTTTACTTATTGAAATGTCCTTGAAACTTTTTAGAGGTCTTTTTATTTGCATGCAATAGTCTGGGCCTTGATATATAGTAAGCCAAATTAAATAAATAAATCTGTAGTGGTGTTTATTTTATTTTTGCATTATTACATTGGTGTTAATATAGTGTACCACGCATCTCTGCACCACAGTAAGCAGATTCAGCAGGTGACTAAGATTTCATTGCCTGGGGTAGCACAAGGATTGATGAGTGTGGCATGCCTCTTTTGATTGAGTGCTGGTGATGTAATGCAAAAGGTGAGACTGCAGGGACTGGAGAAGAAACTGTGGGATGTTGTTTGAATGCCTTAAACAGTCTGGATACCTGCCAGACCTTAAGAATGACTGGTGCCCTGTAACTGTGCTTATGTTCCACTTTGGTTCTGTTTCAAAAGGAGAGGAACCTGGGGGAGAGATCACTGCATGGATCATAGGATTAACTGAACCTAGTTCATTCAGTGGGTAATGGGCACTGGCATAATGAGTTTGAATGAGACATTGGGCTACAGTGAAATTCTTCTGGTGATCTCAACCCAGCTGTTGGTGGAGAAATAATGCATTACACTCCCTCTTTAATCTGAGTTCAGTTCATGTAATTGGAGCAGAAAAGAAATTGAAGAATTGTAGTATTGACTTTTTTCTCTAGCCGCCTCACTGACATCACTCTAATTAATACAAGAAAGGAAAATAGAAAATCTCGACATAAATGGCCTTTTGTAGCTTAATTTAGCTTTTCAAAAAGTAACTGGAATCATTATGGAATTCTTGTCTTTTTGAATAGACCCTCCTCCTCCTATAACATTTACGATACTGTAAATATAAATTACACTACAACTTTTCATTTGATTGATATGGAGATTTAAAGCATAGTCAGCTGTGCAGTTAGAATGACAAACAATAAGCATGTTCTCTTTCCTGCTATGATTAAAACTCAGTGTCCATTTTGCATTTTAATCGGCTCCCTACGAGTGAGAAGGCTTGCAACTGTGCTTTTATTAGAAATATCCACTGGCGGAGCAGTTCCAAATAGAATGAGGATCATATCTATCATCTTTGTGTTAATTGCACTAAAAGACTATACACCATATCATTACCCCACTAGTGTATTAACAAAATGTATGGCATCTGGCAGCACAGAATTAGTGCCCTTGTATAACATTACATTGCATATGAAGGGCTGTCATTCCATTGTCATTTAAATGCCTTCTGAAGCCCCCTTTTCATTTTATGCAAATTGAAGCAGGAGTGTGTTATTATGGTGTCAGGGGAAAGTTACCCAACTACAGGCATAACCTGAGGCCAAAATCTGGCGTTTTGCTTTATGCTTTATGCTTTTTGGTTTTTAATTTGTATCCACAAATTTCTGCAGGAGAAACTTGATGGAAACAAAAGACAAAAGATCCACAGCTGGGCTTTATTGTACAGGTGGTTGCAGAACTTGTGCTTTTTAAACAGATTTACATGTCCATGTAGAAACCTATAGCTTTTGATCTGGCTGTCATACATGTACTGTATGTCTATTCTTTTTGGACTCTGGACGTGACTGACAAAGCACAGGCATTTTCTTGACAATTTTCGTTTGTAATATACAGTATGAAGAGAATATATTTTTTTTGTTTAAAAACAACAAAGCAAGTACTGTCTTCAAGGCTGCTGTTTTTTGGTCTGCGTTTCTTAGGTAGTGTCGTTTGCTTCAATACATTAAGAGCGTCTTGATACATTTGAAAGAAATTTGCTTTTTGTGTCAGGAATGATGCTTGAGTTTGTTTCGAATTTTAATAGTCAAAATACTTATTAACTCTTATTAATTATTAAAAGTCATTACTTTTAGAGGAGGATTTTGTGGGCTGCATATTACTGAGCTTTGTCTGGGGGCGTCGGTGTGAAGAGGCTGTTGGGAGTTGGCAGGCGTTTCTTCTCTGCTGTGGGTCCCCAGCATTGCTTTTCTGTAGTATCTTCCTGACGAGTGAGCTCCATGTCTCTTACACTTCACACCACTGAAATCTGATTGGTTAAAGACACAGACTCCGGTGGAATGAAGGATAGAATTCATGGACATTTCTGAAGAGAAAGTTCTCTGGCTGTCTTGCTCTGGTTACAGAATCGGAATCAAAAACACAGAATCGGAGTTAAAAGTAAAAAAAAAAACAGCACTGACACAAACTCAGGATCATCAATGAAAAGCGGATGTCTTTTTTTTATTGAGAAGAGCCAGGTTTCCCTCCGTAGAAACTTAAAAAAAAAACATCTCAGTAATACACCCTTGCTTGTTCTAGGTTCTACTAAGGAAAAAAAGGCCCTTTTTTAAGAAGCTACAGATGTCTGTATCAGGAATCTAAATGAGGAGGGAGCGCCCGCTGCCTCTCAGTGAGCAAGAGCCGACACGCTGGGGCTCATCCCTCGCGGCACCTGTGGGCACGTCCGGAATACCTCCACTTCCAGACAAGTCTGAACGAGCTTCCCTCCTCCATCAACATCTGAGGTTTCCTTGGAAAAATAATCCCCATCCCCCTAACCCTCCTCACACACCTACACATTGCATCGCAAGTTTGCAGACTTGTGCAACCAAGACAAAATGTTGCATAATTTTATTTCAGATTTCACTACATATCTTAGGACGAGATTTCTTTTAAAGATTTGGGATTTTTGTGAGGAAAAGAACTTTAAAACAACTCCTTTTATTCAATATATGTACTATACTTTATTTCAAAGAGTGTTTCTGGTATATTTACTTTGATGTTACTTTTAAAGTTTTTTTTCTCTTAAGATTTGTTTTCTTTTGATTTTTTTCCCCTGATGT